GGAGTTTCTACCTGATAAGGTCAGGCTAGGGTACATTAACTATTTGTTGAGGGCAATTTTGCTACAACAAGCATTTTGCTAAAGCTGGCCATGCTTTCCATCTGGCTACCACTACCCCGGCCACCAACTCTGCACCCTCCGCTGAAACTTGCCCATGCCCCCCCCCGCTTCTCCTTCACACAAATTCAGACAGCTGACGTTTTGAAAGAGCTGCAAAATCTGGACCCCTACCAATCAGCTGGGCTAGACAATCTGGACCCTTTCTTTCTAAAACTAGCCGCCGAAATTGTCACAAACCCTATTACTAGTCTGTTCAACCTCTCTTTCATAACGTCTGAGATACCCAGAGATTGGAAAGCTGCCGCGGTCATCCCCCTCTTCAAAGGGGGTGACACTCTAGATCCAAACTGCTACAGACCTATATCCATCCTGCCCTGCCTTTCGAAAGTATTTGAAAGCCAAGTTAACAAACAGATCACCGACCATTTCGAATACCACCGTACCTTCTCCGCTATGCAATCCGGTTTCCGAGCTGGTCATGGGTGCACTTCAGCCACGCTCAAGGTCCTAAACGATATTATAACCGTGATTGATAATAGACAGTACTGTGCAGCCGTCTTCATCGACCTGGCCAAGGCTTTCGACTCTGTCAACCACCGCATTCTTATTGGCAGACTAAATAGCCTTGGTTTCTCAAATGACTGCCTCGCCTGGTTCACCAACTACTTCTCAGATAGAGTTCAGTGTGTCAAATCGGAGGGCCTGTTGTCTGGACCTATGGCAGTCTCTATGGGGGTGCCACAGGGTTCAATTCTTGGGCCGACACTTTTCTCCGTGTATATCAATGATGTCGCTCTTGCTGCTGGTGACTCTCAGATCCACCTCTATGCAGACGACACCATTTTGTATACATCTGGCCCTTCATTGGACACTGTGTTAACAAACCTCCAAACGAGCTTCAATGCCATACAACACTCCTTCAGTAGCCTCCAACTACTCTTAAACACTAGTAAAACTAAATGCATGCTTTTCAATCGAACGCTGCTGGCACCCGCCCACCCGACTAGAATCACCACTCTTGACGGGTCTGACCTAGAGTATGTGGACAACTACAAATACCTAGGTGTCTGGTTAGACTGTAAACTCTCCTTCCAGACTCACATAAAGAATCTCCAATCCAAAGTTAAATCTAGAATCGGCTTCCTATTTCGCAACAAAGCCTCCTTCACTCATGCTGCCAAACATGCCCTCGTAAAACTGACTATCCTACCGATCCTTGACTTCGGCGATGTCATTTACAAAATAGCCTCCAACACTCTACTCAGCAAATTGGATGTAGTCTATCACAGTGCCATCCGTTTTGTCTCCAAAGCCCCATACGCTACCCACCACTGTGACCTGTACGCTCTTGTTGGCTGGTCCTCACTACATGTTCGTCGTCAAACCCACTGGCTCCAGGCCATCTATAAATCACTGCTAGGCAAATCCCCGCCTTATCTTAGCTCATTGGTCACCATAGCAGCACCCACCCGTAGTCTGCGCTCCAGCAGGTATATCTCACTGGTCATTCCCAAAGCCAACACCTCCTTTGGCTGCCATTCCTTCCAGTTCTCTGCTGCCAATGACTGGAACGAATTGCAAAAATCTCTGAAGCTGGAGACTCTTATCTCCCTCACTAACTTTAAGCATCAGTTGTCAGAGCACCTTACCGATCACTGCACCTGTACACAGCCCATCTGAAATTAGCCCACCCAACTACCTCATCCCTATATTGTTATTTATTTTGCTCTTTTGCACCCCAGTATCTCTATTTGCACATAATCTCTTGCACATCTAGCATTCCAGTGTTAATACTATTGTAATTATTTTGCACTATAGCCTATTTATTGCCTTACCTCCATAACTTGCTACATTTGCACACACTGTATATATATTTTCTGTTGTGTTTTTTGACTTTGTTTTTTTACCCCATATGTAACTCTGTGTTGTTGTTTTTATCGCACTGCTTTGCTTTATCTTGGCCAGGTCGCAGTTGTAAATGAGAACTTGTTCTCAACTGGCTTACCTGGTTAAATAAAGGTTAAATAAAATAAATAAAAAATTGTGCTGGGGACAAAAGGCCTCTCTAAAATGTGCAGTTTTGTCACATAACACAATCTGTGCAATTGGCATGCTGACTGCAGGAATGCCCTCCAGAGCTGTTGCCAGAGAATGTAATGTTCATTTCTCTAACATAAGCCGCCACAACGTCATTTTTGAGAATATGGCATTTGCACACACTGTATATATATTTTCTGTTGTATTTTTGACTTTATGTTTTTTACCCCATATGTAACTCTGTGTTGTTTTTATCGCACTGCTTTGCTTTATCTTGGCCAGGTCGCAGTTGTAAATGAGAACTTGTTCTCAACTGGCTTACCTGGTTAAATAAAGGTGAAATAAATAAATAAATAAATTGTTCCGAACCCGCTACAGTGCTTTAGGTGCCAAGGATTCGAACATGTGGCAGTAATATGTAGAGTAAGTTTGCAGGAGGGCATAGTCAGAGGGAGTGTGAAGTGGGGGTTGAGAAAGCACTGTTTGTAAACTGCGGGGGCGCTCATGCAGCTGGTGATTCGAAGTGCCCTGTACGAGAGAGACAAGTTGAGATTGCCAAAGTTTGAGAAGGGAAGAAAGTTTAATATGCTGAGGCAGTAACCAGAGTAGAGGATAGCCAAGGATGAGGGATTCGACTGAGAGCTCCAGAGAGGATGAGTTTGAATAAGGTTGGATTTCTTGCATTTATAGCCATCGTGATCAACTGCACTGCACTGATGGAGCGGAAGTCACAGAAAATAGATGTGGTAGTTGCAGCAGCAGAGAAATATTTGGGTGTGAGAGATTTCAGTGCAGAAGATCTACAGGGAGTTTTGTGAAAAGGGGTTCCTCCCAGGCCAACGGCCTGGTGTAGGATCGTTTAGAGCCAAAGTGGTAGGATGGAGTGGTGGGTTTTGTGAGTGGTTTATAGGCAGTGGTGTGTATTCATGGATGCCAAGGGAAGCCAGGCTTCTACAAAAAATTGACCAAGAAAAAAAGAGAAAAACATAAAATAATTTATCCTTTGTCTCTCTGTGTTTCATAATTTAGGCCATCTATCTGATGCTGTCTGGTCAAAGAGAGTATGACGTTGTTGCCGCCCGTAGCTTTGAATGCAAGGGAAGGAAGCCAGCGAGCATTTGGCCTCCCCAACGCCAATCAGCGTTGAGCTAAATTGAGTGAGCGCAACTGTGAATGGTCCTGGTGCACCCCAAATTTTTTTTCAAGGGAAGCCAGTTTGGATTTGGCTTCTCTCCAATCATATCATGTTGAGAGCAATACGTCATTGACAGAAACAACTTGAACTGTTGCATCTAGTTGTGTTGGATGAAGACAGGGATTTGGACTTGTGGTTTTACTTAATTCTCTGTACTGGCCAATAATTATAACGCCGATTGTTAGAGCCGATTTGGGCATATTTTGTATAAAAGACTGAACATACTGAGCTCCATGTACATTTGTGTAAATATATTAAATATTAATGTATATGATGAAATATTAGGTACGTACCTTTATGATTTATTTACCGGATTGAGATATATTCATTTGTTATTAGTGTAACTCAGTTTTTGGCCCCCCCTCTTGCCCATTCATTGTACTGTGTTAATTGTGTTAGTATAAAGGCAGGAAGTTGGGCCTTCGGGGGGAGGAGTCCTTGCTAGATGCGGGAGCGGTATAGTTTTTTGACCATATAGACATACAGAAATACAGACAGACAGGTCATATTATATTATGTATTTGCATTTCAAGTAATCTCTGCTTTAAGTTGATTGGAGAATACCTTTTTGTTAGATAAGAAGAATAAACATTTTCTGTTGCACTATATCCCTGGATCTCATTGAATGTTTGGCCGTTTGGAAACGTTGAGTGTGGACTGTATGCGTCCGAAACAACCCCGCTTCAGGCTTGGGCAGTGGCTATGGTAAAGAGGAAAGGAAGCCACTACACCGATTCTGATCCAACCATAAATGAATACATTGTGCCCCTGGCCTGAGAGGATGGAAGTTCAGTATGTAGCTAGATGTAGGCTAATGTTAACTAGCTAACGTTGCCCATAAAAAGGAAGTTAGGCTAGTGAGAAAGCATTTTAGCCAGGTAGCCTAGGACAACAAAAAATAATAGCATGTACTGTATAGCAGAATCATAGACAGTTTTATCAACATGAAAGAGAGAAGGATGGCATTGGCGTTTCTCTACAAGTAGGGTGAGTCAACATGTTTTTTCTACTTGTACGAACGCACACACACAGAAATCAGAACCATGGACAGCCACATCATATTTAGCTTACATTGATTGGACTAAATTGTTTTTGGTATCTATTAGTAGTCACTATCAGACTAAGCATAGGTGATTTGATGATTTTTTAATGTTGAAGTTGAAATGGTGCTGGAATAGTGGAGGCATTTCCTGTTTTCTTTGCAACTTGCAGTAACTCTCCAAGTGATTCAAAATAAATAGTTGTTTAGTAGTCCAAAATGTCGGAAACATTAACTTGCTTGACCATGCTGTTTGTTACATGCAATATGCTTTGTGGACTTCACCGGACAGAGGTTGTTCTCCGGTTTTGTGATCAAACACTGCTACTGTGTCTTCTTATTGTCTCGGCCTTAGGCCTATATATCACGGTCGCAAGGCATATGACCTAACAGGCTAGAGCAAACAATGCAGTTATCACAATTCATAGGTTGTAATATGGCTTTTTATTCTGTCTTGGCTTCCCCAGTGATTTTATCCACGCACCGCTACTGTGTATAGGTAAGGTGCAGGGTTAGATGGTGGTGCAATTTCAAATGTCCACATGCCCCCTTTTTTTGTGACCAAAATGTGCAATCCACACACCGACCTGCGAAAGGCAGCAATACGCAACACAGCGTCTAGTCTGCCGAAATTTCACACGAAGAAGAGGATTTGTAGTTCTTCCTGTACAGGACTTTCTTAGCAGCTAGCTAGATACGTGGTTTTAGCAAGACAGCGGAATGGACGTCATGCTTCATATCAAAATGTTAAAGGACATTTTAAGTGTGTTTTGCGCAATTTATCTTGTCACCAAGTTTACCACTGCAACCCAAGACGGCTCTAATGGGAAAAAGGACCAAGAGTGTTACAGCTACGCTGGAGGACACGTCTACCCCGGAGAGGCTTTCCGTGTGCCCGTCTCTGATCATTCCTTGCACCTCAGCAAGGCAAAAAGTGGGTATTGTCCCCCTGCACGGCAGTTGTACTTGGCAATCATATTGACTTGAAAATTATTTTAATAACTGAAGGATGTTTTACTCAACAATACAATTATAATTTGTTTTTAACTACACAGCTAGCTAGCTAACTAGTTTGCCTGCAGCCAATTAGCTAGTTAATTTAGTAGACTTGATTAACGTTAGCTAGCCACCGTTCCAGTTATGCTGCAAAGTTTCACAACTGAAGTTTGCATCAAATCGGTATGCGCGTTATTGTAATAATATGCCAGCTTTTACTAGTAGATCCAAATTCATAAGTTGTAGCTAATAGTACATTTGGACACGTCATGCCAAAAAACGTGGGTCGAACTGTAGCCAGCAGATTCTGACCCTACCGTTACGCTTGTTTACACTGAGCTTCACTGGGGTCAGAACGCCATCATGGTTAGATTAAAGGCCCTGCTACACTACAGCCATTGGCATGGCATTGCCATCAGCCGTTGAAGAAATGCTTCCTTTGAAATCAATGGAAGTTGCTTCACTGCCCATGTTGCGCTTGTGTTGCGTCATGTCCAATGGCAGCATCCAAGCTCAAGAATCAAGGTTCAATTCTCGATTGTTGACGCACGTTCATTCTATCTTGTGAATTAAAATTATGAGAAATAAAGTTTATTTTGGTTGCATGTGGCCTTGACTATACACCACTGGTTATTTTCCAAAGATCAGGGTCCTTAATGTCTTAAGGCTTTAAATCAGATGAATGAATTTAAGTCTGAAGATTTTTTTTTTTCGAAAGTCGTAAAAAATGTGACGTAGATAACTACAGTGTTTCCGTTATGTTGTGCCGCTGCTTAATTGTTTCCACCACAGAAAAATATACAAAATGTAACATCAAATAATGCTTGAGGTGCACTTTTAAGATGTTAGAAAGCTATCCACATGTGCGCCTCTCTGTGTGTGCACGTCAAGTGAGTGTGCCAGTGCGAGTCGGCCATTGCCAGAGGAGAGAGCAAGGAAGCCTATACAATTTGATAGACAACAACGCTAACTAGACCTGAGATGATAAACCGTCAATTACCGACACCGACATTGCCCTCCTCTTACCGAATAATTTAGCTTAGTGATTCAGTTCAGTGTTTAGGCTACACAACATTCCTGCTGATTTCTTTTTGGTTCTAAAACCATTATCTGGTCAACACTAATGTGCATTAACCTGCTTCCTGCAATGAAAACATCTGCCCTGTCCCTGTTTTGCTGGCTCTTCTTACTCCTGCTCCCCACTTTGCACACGGAATGAAGCGCAAGCATACTGACAGTTGAGTAACATTTCAAAATATAATTGCGGGAAAGACAGTTTTTAAAACAACTACTGAGTCTCAGCTTTATGTGAGTATAACAATTAATTTCTCAACTTTCAATATAGAGGAAATAACATAACTTTACAAACGCAGTATGTAGTTGAGATGATGCGCCAACGGAGCAGAGTGCGCTATTTGCAGTGGTGACTTATTCCAAATGTTGTTGTTACAGCCTGATTGTACAATATTTGCACATTATTATTTTTATAATTCTTCAAGCTCTGTCAAGTTGGTTGTTGATCATTGCTAGATCAAGTCTTGCCATAGATTTTCAACAGATTTAAGTCAAAACTGTAACTCAGCCACTCCGGAACATTAGCTGTCTTCTTGGTAAGCAACTCCAGAGTAGATTTGGTCTTGTGTTTTAGGTTATTGTCCTGCTGAAAGGGGAATTAATCTCCCAGTGGTGGAAAGCAGACTGAACCAAGTTTTCCTCTAGGATTATCCCATGTGCTTAGCTCCATTCCGTTTCTTTTTTCATCCTGAAAAACTCCACAGTCCTTAACAACTACAAGCATACCCATAACATGATGCAGCCACCACTATGCTTGAAAATATGAAGCGTGGTACTCAGTAAAGTGTTGTATTGGATTTGCCCCAAATATAACACTTTGTATTCAGGACTTGTGAATTGCTTTGGCACATTGTTTTGCAGTATTACTTGTTGCCTTGTTGCAAACATGATGCGTGTTTTGGAATATTTTTTATTTTGTACAGACTTTGTCAATTAAGTTAGTATTGTGGAGTAACTACAATGTTGTTGATCCATCCTCAGTTTTCTCCCATCACAGCCATTCAACTCTGTAACTGTTTTAAAGTCACCATTGGCCTCATGGTGAAATCGCTGAGCGGTTTCCTTCCTCTCCGGCAACTGATTTAAGAAGGATGCCTTTGTCTTTGTAGTGACTGGGTGTATTGATACACCATCCAAAGTGTAATTAATAACTCCACCATGCTCAAAGGGAAATGAAATGTCTGCTTTATTTTATTTTATCTACCAATAGGTGCCCTTCTTTGCGAGGCATTGGAAAACCTCCCTGCTCTTTGGTTGAATCTGTGTTTGAAATTCACTGCTCGACTGAGGTATTAACTTACAGTTAATTACCTGTATATGTGGGGTACAGAGATGAGGTAGTCATTCAAAAATCTCATTAAACACTATTGCACACAGTGAGTCCATGCAACTTATTATGTGACTTGTTAAGCACATTTTTACTCCTGAACTTATTTAGGCTTTCCATTACAAAGGGGTTGAATACGTATTGACTCAATTTAATCCATTTTAAATTCAGACCATAACACAACAAAATGTGAAAAAAGTCAAGGCGTGTGAATACTTTTGTAGGACATTTACCGTTCTATCAATTGCATGGCTAAAGCAACAATAGATTTAGAAATGTAGCTAATGTGTTTTAAGTTCCCATTTCCTCGGGTGGTAAATTATGTAGCATAGGCTATAGCCTAGGTCAATATGCACAAAAACACACAGGCAAATTAATCTCTTAAAAGGCCAACAGATATCTGATTATAATGGATCCTATTTTGACATGTTACACTTCAAAATATCCATCATGCGTTCCCTGAACATGTAAGATGAAATAGCTAACTTCTTTCATGTCTTGCTTGGCACTGGAAAATGTCTGTCTAGAGCCCTCCCCTACCGCTTAGCTACCTAGCTTCAAAGGATAGCCATTTGATACCTGATTCATTGAATGAGGGGATTATTTTATTAAACGTTTTGGTTTTAGGCTAATGTTCAAATTGTACAGCATAATACGTCCAGGAGAGCTCCTGGGTTTGTACACTGTTTTGTTCCAGCCTCACTCTTAACATACCAGATTTTACAAATCAACTACTTAACAGAACCTTGTTAAGTTGACTCAGGTGTGTTTGAGCAGTGCAGGATCAAAAGTCTGCACACCCATTGGCCTAGCTCTCCAGAGGGAGAGTTGACTATGTGTTTTATACAATAATAATGCTGTATATTTGACTTTATTAAGGCATTTTTTCACAGTGGTATCGTTATGGTGTTGAGTATCATTATACTACGCTGGTATTGATATTGAAGCCTAAATTCTGAAAATGTAGTTTGATCTAGCTAATGATTAGCCCATTGGGGTAGCCTAATAAATGGAGATGGGCAATCCCATGCTTCAGCCATCTATAGCCTAGCCAGTAGCCACTATGCTACTACATCCGTCTGGCTTATTGCTAAAATAGCACACCTGCCTGAGAATAGGAGCCATGTAAGCTATAGCCTTTGGTGAAAGAGCCAGCCCTAAAAATACTATTACTTTTTGCCAACATGGGCTCATCCCATAAGGCGGCGCACAATTGGCCCAGCATCGTCCGGGTTTGGCCGGTGTAGGCAGTCATTGTAAATAAGAATTTGTTCTTAACTGACTTGCCTAATTAAATAAAGGTAAAATAACATTTCTGAAGGGCAATATTAGGTGTGTGGCTCGCGCAGACCTAGAAATTGGTATTAAATTGCATTCCAAGTGGAATTAAAGGTCTTAGAAAGTCTTCCATTCAACTTCATGGAACCTGCAGATACCCTGTAAGATTTATGAAGTCAAGAAGCTACTACTACTACTAGCTAGCTAGCAACATTGACTAGCTAGGTTCACAATGTAAACAAAAGCAACTTGTGAAATTAGAGGATCATGTAGTACAACCACTAGCAACAATTCTATTGTACTTACAGAATCTATTTAATATGGTACAGTATAGTAGGGGAAAATAGAATAAAGACGCCCTTCTCTGCTCCTCTCCACTTAAAAACAACACACTCTGTGTAGCAGGTAGAACGTCACATTGACACGACGCTGATGGCAAAGCAACGCAACGCTTATAGTGGAGCGGAAGTGTAAAACACTGCAGAGCGAAATATGGCTTGGAAAAAGTACCTCACACCAGGGATGTGAAATTGCGTTGTACTCGGAATTGTCCCATTATCCCAACTGTTACACCGGAAAGCTGAGCTTTTCGTCCTCATGCTAGCTAGAAGCAGCCACAGCAGCCATTATGGAATGGCACGTGGTGTTGAACATCAAAGGAGCTGATTGGCTGACACTGCCATTTCAAAATGGCGATGGTGGCTACTGCTAGGTAGCATGAGGAAGAAAAGGGCGGTTTTCTAGAAAAACAAACAGTATTTGAATCTTGTTGATGTATCAGTTTGCATATAGGTAAAATTTGGAGTACAGTGTCACATCCCATCCCTGCATTAATGTATGTTTTCCGACCCATATCTCGCACCGGCGCCGCGGTGTCTTAATCTAACCATGATTGCGTTCCGACCCCAGTGCAGCTCAGTATAAACAAGCGTAATGGTAGGGTCAGAATCTGCTGGCTACTCCAACTACTCTCTCAAGGACCCAGACAGGAGGACCCTAGCAATAACAGTTGCTGTGCACCACACAATCCCAATGGATGCATCTCAGTCAGTGTTATGTTAAGTGGCTTCCTCTCATCGAGTCTACACTTTCTTTATCTGTATTCATTTAAAAAGGAAGGTGAAATTAAATTCCCGGCTTGTACCTTCCATATCGCTTTCACATTTGTTGCGTTTTCCAATCAGCAGAGGAGAGAAGATAAGGAGGCCACTTCCAGGATGCACCCCATGAGGTAACCAGCTGTGCCCTATCCCAAGATGTACTGTTAAGGAGTGTAGGTGTAACAGTATTGTTTCCGTCCCTCTCTGCCGGAACCTGGGCTGGAACCAGACCCTCTGAACACATCAACAACAGTCACCCACAAAGCATCATTACCAATCGCTCCACAAAAGCCGCAGCCCTTGCAGAGCAAGGGAAAAAACTACTTCAAGGTCTGAGTGAATGACGTCACCGATTTAAACACTACTACTAGCGCGTACTGCTAACTAGCTAGCCATTTCACATTGGTTACATGGGTAAGCCTACTCCTTTAACGTCCAAGGACCTTATATGTTCAGAGGTAAACTGGCTCTGGCAGCCAAAACAGCCAAATGCGATACGGTTATAGAAACATAAAAAGCCCTCTACTTTCATATCACATCAAAATAATTTTACTAATGCAAAATATACACTCACTGTTTTAAAACAGTTGCAGCCGACAGTACTTCTCAGTTACAACACTTTTCTGATGTTCGGAGACTCTAGATAGCTAGGCTAATTAGAACAAGTGGTCGCCTCTCTCTTCCGTTAACAGGCCGTAACATGGAAATATGTATTAAAAGGGTGTAATAATTTTACCTTTGTTTTATGAACAATCTTTCTCTATTAGCCTATATGGAAGTCAACTTCCAGAGGTTTCCAAAACCGCATCGCAAGCGAGGATTATTGATGTAGAGGGAGCCCTCTTTGGTGAACGAGAACTAAGTGTGCCCCAAGCCTGCCATGAGCCATAGGCTTACCTGCACACTGCTCACCAATAATGAACAAATACTATTCATTGTTGACCAAGCACACTAAATAATGGTGTGTTGGTATGAACAACATTGAGGATACAAAGCAGGAAGTCTGTTCTGATTGGGTTTTCCCTAAAATGTGATCAGCAAATAACTTGCTTGCTCGTGCTTTGAACTGTCATCAAATATGTTTTTGTTATTTCTTATTTTTGCAGTTTCAAAGCCTGCACCTTATTTTGAGGGTTCAGCTGTCATCGATGGTGAGTTTAAGGAGCTCAAACTGTCTGACTACAAAGGGAAATACCTAGTCTTCTTCTTCTACCCCCTGGACTTGTGAGTACTAACTCTTACTGACCTTCATCCTAAAACAAACCTCTTTGTAGTGTTCTTTGCTACTGTCAGAAAATGTGTTTGTTTGTTTATTTTACTTTGTTATATTTATTTCAGACAGAATTGACAGTATGTTACCTGTTAAAAAAAAAAAAAAAAAAAAAAAAACAGGCAATGTTTATATGACCCCCTTTCAAACAGTCCCATTTGTAACACTTTCTTGCCGGTATATGCATTTTAAAGGGTACATCCCGTTGCGGACGTGTCTATTTTAATAGATCCATTGAATATATACACCATCACAAATAAATATATTATTAATACGTTTAGGCAGGTCTTAAGAAACATTATGATACTAAGAAAATGTATTTCAGAAGAATAGAATAGCATATTTTGAGTTTTATGTTACTGGTCTGTGCAGCCTAGGCAATAGGCTATGGTTGCAGCATGCAAATGAAATCAATAGTTCATTATTTTGTTCATTAAACAAACAAGACACAATTACATTACCCAGCCCTGATCAGTAAACACAACATTTTATAGTAAGAATAATATATAAATAATATTTTTTCCCAAACAACTTGAGTGTTGCGGGCTGTTAATCTACCAAAAAAGTGATATTTTTAAACAGAGCCCATGCCCTCATTTCTTTTAGTTGCTTTAGAAACCCTAGAATCTGCTCTTTCCGGTCGTGTATTGAAATCAAATGTCTGACCTGGATGAATGTCTGTAGAGTGATTTTTTTAAAATTGTTTTGTCTTTTTTTAAATGGATTTTTTGGTTAAAAAAAGATTGCAGATCCACATGGAATCTTTTTTTTCCTATGCTCTCTCCATATTATGCACATTGATAGCTTGCTAGAAAATGATAACTGATTTTTTTATAGTAGCAGTAGGCAGTTATCTAAATAATCGAAGCAAAACATGCAAGGAGAAATGACTGGTGAAATTAATCAAGCAACGAATAAGTAAATTATTTATTAGAATCCCCATTAGCTGTTGCTCACTCTTCCTGGGGTCGACACACATTACATACAGAACATTAATATACTGTACAAGAACAGCATAAGGACCGAACTACATGCATTTAAATGGAAAGAATAAATGCATTAAAAGCATTGTCCCAATGCCTGTAAAAAAAAAAATGGATGGCTTGGTTTTCAGAGGCGTTGGCGGAACTTAATGGTGCAATCATGTTTAGGTCTGTCTTAGTGGCGTATTGTAAAATCTAAACTGTAGTAACTGTTAATTTTTTCTGTATTTTAGAACCAGTGACTTCATGAAAATGCAGTATGCTTTGGTAAAGTAATAATGTTGTTGGCTATGTATTATTCTGATGAATCCAACTCTGTGTACCTGCAGCACGTTTGTCTGCCCGACTGAGATTATTGCGTTCAGTGATCGTGTGCACGAGTTCCGTGACATCAATGCTGAAGTTGTTGCCTGCTCTGTCGACTCACAATTCACTCATCTGGCATGGTAAGATTATAAGCATCACACCCCTCTTCAGAGGTGCTTGGACTTTAATTTCAGAGTTTTTTTCCCCTCCGGCTTTATGTTGTTAACAGGATCAACACACCCAGGAAGCAGGGTGGTCTTGGACCAATGAAAATCCCTCTGCTGTCTGACCTCACACACCAGATTTCCAAAGATTATGGAGTCTTCCTGGAGGATGCAGGACACACACTCAGGTACAGTATACACTTGCTCACGGGGGTAGAAGCTACTTCAAAAGAAGAGTACTACTATGTTAAATTGGTTTGATACAGCTGCTACAGCCAGCGCATTCATCTTCTTAACCTTCAACATTATCCTCTTTTGTTAATTGTTTCATTTTTTTAAATGGTTCAACAAAATACCTGTAAACTGTTAAGTTCATGAAGTTTAAAGTCATGCTGTTTGAAACTGAAGCAAACTTCTCATTGTTGTCACCTTCTCCCTCAGGGGCCTGTTCATCATCGATGACAAGGGCGTCCTGAGGCAGATCACCATGAATGACCTCCCCGTGGGGCGCTCTGTAGACGAGACCCTGAGGCTGGTCCAAGCCTTCCAGTATACCGACAAACACGGCGAAGGTACAGTTCACTCCTCAGCCTCCAAATTCAGTCTCACCACATAACATTCTCAGATAATATAGCTAGACACTTAATTATCTGTGGTTGCTATGGATGGTATTTTTTATTTTTTTTACAGTTTGTGTGAATTAAATCATTTTTCTTTTTGCAGTATGCCCAGCAGGATGGAAGCCAGGCAGTGACACAGTGAGTTTCATACTGTGTGTGGTTAAAGGGGGCAATCAGCAGTGGTGCAATATTTGGACTCATAAATTGATGATGTATCCATTGATTCTTGAAGAATAACTTATACATGCCTCATGAGCTTAGTTCAACTGTCGTACCCCATCAGAACCCAAAATATAAGCTTGTTTTATTCCAATGTTTGTAAACAAACACTATACAGCCTCAACATGGTTAAAACTATAATTTTGATATCATGGACGGTCAGTCCTTGCATCCATAGCTCTGTCCATGAATTTGAGTGGTTACATTTCTCCAGGCGCATCCCTCAGCTTTTTACCGAAACAGGGTCGGGGAGTACGCTTTGTTATTGTTTCAACTGCTGACTGCCGCTTTAAGTGAGTGCATGCATGAGATTATATTTATAATCTCCACCGGGCACAGCCAGAAGAGGACTGTCCTCCCCTCAGAGCCTGGTTCCTCTCTAGGTTTCTTCCTAGGTTCCTGCCTTTCTAGGGAGTTTTTCCTAGCCACCGTGCTTCTACATCTGCATTGCTTGCTGTTTGGGGTTTTAGGCTGGGTTTCTGTATAGCACTTTGTGACAACTGCTGATGTAAAAAGGGCTTTATAAATACATTTGATTTGATATTATTTTCTTATACAATTGCTTGTGCACTAATTCAATGTATTACTCTTCACAGATAATCCCAGACCCAGCGGGCAAACTCAAGTACTTTGACAAGCTGAACTGACCCGCCCCTGTAATAAACACTTTGGTTAAAGCTCAGAATAAAAACAGTTTTGATAATCTGCTGTCTGTTTGTTTTAGCAATGTAGAGGCATATTTGACAAATCTAATTCAATCTTATCTAGCGATCTGAGTAAACTGGTGACCTTTTGAGATGAGAAACAGGCCAGGAATTATGACAACCATATAATTAATACCTCTTGGAAATTGCAGTCACACTCTCCTAAATGGGAGACACTACATGGTGCTTTAAATAAAATGCCTTTAATTGCTTTGAACGTCCCAAATTTGCTCCACTCCAGTGGACTGGACACACCAGAACAGAGAAGTCTATAAACATGTCGCTTGGGTCATTGATACATTACGGCCATTCCTGTGGAGGGGTCCTGCAACAAATAGTCTGGAATATGATGGACATGCACTGAAGGAAAGGACTAGGGTGGACCGTAAGATAGGTTCAGGACTGTTGCTGCCACCATGGCGCATCAGTCAGAATGCAATGGGAGGAGACAGAGAATCCAGGTTTAGGGGTATTTATTATACACAGTTGAACAACAGAGGCATATGGGGGGAGGGTTTGGATGGAGGTGAATATGGAGGATAGGAGTTGGGCTTGTAAGATTTCTAGGTTGAATAGGAAGGATGTGGCCATGGAGATAGGATTGGCTGTGGATAACAAGGATGAGGTGGTCTGGAAGGGAGATGCAAAAGGAAAACATTAGGAACACAACATAAAAGGTGCAGACATGACAAAGTACAGTGCCTTCAAAAAGTGTTCACACCCCTTGACCTTTTCCACATTTTTGTTACAGCTTGAATTTAAAATAGATTAAATAGAGATTTTTTTTGTTATCATTGGCCTACACACAATACCCCATAATGTCAAAGTGGAACTACAGTGGGGAAAAAAAGTATTTAGTCAGCCACCAATTGTGCAAGTTCTCCCACTTAAAAAGATGAGAGAGGCCTGTAATTTTCATCATAGGTACACGTCAACTATGACAGACAAAATGAGAAAAAAATATCCAGAAAATCACATTGTAGGATTTTTAATAAATGTATTTGCAAATTATGGTGGAAAATAAGTATTTGGTCACCTACAAACAAGCAAGATTTCTGGCTCTCACAGACCTGTAACTGCTTCTTTAAGAGGCTCCTCTGTCCTCCACTCGTTACCTGTATTAATGGCACCTGTTTGAACTTGTTATCAGTATAAAAGACACCTGTCCACAACCTCAAACAGTCACACTCCAAACTCCACTATGGCCAAGACCAAAGAGCTGTCAAAGGACACCAGAAACAAAATTGTAGACCTGCACCAGGCTGGGAAGACTGAATCTGCAATAGGTAAGCAGCTTGGTTTGAAGAAATCAACTGTGGGAGCAATTATTAGGAAATGGAAGACATACAAGACCACTGATAATCTCCCTCGATCTGGGGCTCCACGCAAGATCTCACCCCGTGGGGTCAAAATGATCACAAGAACGGTGAGCAAAAATCCCAGAACCACACGGGGGGACCTAGTGAATGACCTGCAGAGAGCTGGGACCAAAGTAACAAAGCCTACCATCAGTAACACACTACGCCGCCAGGGACTCAAATCCTGCAGTGCCAGACGTGTTGCCCTGCTTAAGCCAGTACATGTCCAGGCCCGTCTGAAGTTTGCTAGAGTGCATTTGGATGATCCAGAAGAGGATTGGGAGAATGTCATATGGCCAGATGAAACCAAAATAGAACTTTTTGGTAAAAACTCAACTCGTCGTGTTTGGAGGACAAAGAATGCTGAGTTGCATCCAAAGAACACCATACCTACTGTGAAGCATGGGGGTGGAAACATCATGCTTTGGGGCTGTTTTTCTGCAAAGGGACCAGGACGACTGATCCGTGTAAAGGAAAGATTGAATGGGGCCATGTATCGTGAGATTTTGAGTGAAAACCTCCTTCCATCAGCAAGGGCATTGAAGATGAAACGTGGCTGGGTCTTTCAGCATGACAATGATCCCAAACACACCGCCCGGGCAACGAAGGAGTGGCTTCGTAAGAAGCATTTCAAGGTCCTGGAGTGGCCTAGCCAGTCTCCAGATCTCAACCCCATAGAAAATCTTTGGAGGGAGTTGAAAGTCCGTGTTGCCCAGCGACAGCCCCAAAACATCACTGCTCTAGAGGATATCTGCATGGAGGAATGGGCCAAAATACCAGCAACAGTGTGTGATAACCTTGTGAAGACTTACAGAAAACGTTTGACCTGTGTCATTGCCAACAAAGGGTATATAACAAAGTATTGAGAAACTTTTGTTATTGACCAAATACTTATTTTCCACCATAATTTGCAAATAAATTCATAAAAAATCCTACAATGTGATTTTCTGGATTTTTTTTCCTCATTTTGTCTGTCATAGTTGACGTGTACCTATGATGAAAATTACAGGCCTCTCTCATCTTTTTAAGGGGGAGAACTTGCACAATTGGTGGCTGACTAAATACTTTTTTTCCCCACTGTATGTTTTTCTAAATTTGCTTAACAAGTCACATAAGTTATGGACTTACTGTGCAATAAGTGTTTAACATGACTTAATGATTTCCTTATCCCTGTACCCGGCACATACAATTATCTGTAAGGTCCCTCAGTGAATTTCAAACACAGATTCAACCACAAAGACCAGGAAGGTTTTCCAATCCCTCACAAAGGGCACCTATTGGTAGATGGGTAAAAATAAAAACAGACATTGAATATCCCTTTGAGCATGGTGAAGTTATTAATTATACTTTGGATGGTGTATCAATACACCCAGTCACTACAAAGATACAGGCGTCCTTCCTAACTCCGTTGCCGGAGAGGAAGGAAACCGCTCAGGGATTTCACCATGAGGCCAATGGTGACTTTAAAACAGTTAGAGTTGAATGGCTGTGATAGAAAACTGAGGATGGATCAACAACATTGTAGTTACAATACTAACCTAATTGACAGAGTGAAAAGAAGAAAGCCTGTACAGAATAAAAAATATTCCAAAACATGCATGCTGTTTGCAGCAAAATAATACTGCAAAAAATGTGGCAAAGCAATTAACTTTTAGTCCTGAATGCAAAGTGTTATGTTTGGGGCAAATCCAATACAACACTTTACAATTACTGAGTACCACTCTTCATATTGTCAACCATAGTGGTGGCTGCACCATGTTATGGGTATGCTTGTGATCATTAAGGACTGGGGAGTTTTCAGCATAAAAAAAGAAACGGAATGGAGCTAAGCTCAGGCAAAATCAGGCAAAATCCTGGAGGAAAACCTGGTTCAGTCTGCTTTCCACCAGACACTGGGGGATGAATTCACCTTTCAGCAGGACAATAACCTAAAACACAAGGCCAACTCTACACTGGAGTTGCTTACCAAGAAGACAGTGAATGTTCCTGAGAGGCCGAATTACAGTTTTGACTTAAATCTACTTGAAAATCTATGCCAAGATCTGAAAATAGTTCTAGCAATGATCAACAACCAATTTGACAGAGCTTGAACAATTATGAAAATAATAATGGGCAAATGTTGCACAATCCAGGTGTCAAATCAAAATGTATTTGTCACATACACGTGTTTAGAAGATGGTATTGCGGGTGTAGCGAAATGCTTGTGCTTCTAGCTCCGACAGTGCAATAATATCTAACAAGTAATATCTAACAATTTCACAACATATACCCAATACATACAAATCTAGTAAGGAATGGAATTTAAGAATATATACATATATGGACAAGCAATGACAGAGCGGCATGGACTAAGATACAGTAGAATATTATAGAATAGAATACAGTATATACATATGAGATGAGTAGTGCAAGATATGTAAACATTATTAAAGTTCCATTTCTTAAAGTGGCCAGTGATTTCAATAGGCAGCAGCAGCCTCTAATGTGCTAGTGATGGCTATTTAACGGTCTGATGGCCTTGAGATAGAAGCTGTTTTTCATTCTCTCGGTCCCAGCTTTGATGCACCTGTACTGACCTCGCCTTCTGGATGATAGTGGGGTGAACAGGCAGTGGCTCGTGTGGTTGATGTCCTTGATGATCTTTTTGGCCTTCCTGTGACATCGGGTGCTGTAGGTGTCTTGGAGGGCGGGTAGCTTGCACCCGGTAATGCGTTCGGCAGACCGCACCACCCTCTGGAGAGCCCTGCGGTTGCAGGCGATGCAGTTGCCGTACCAGGCAGTGATACAGCCCGACAGGATGCTCTCAATTGTGCATCTGTAAAAGTTTGTGAGGGTTTTAGGTAAATAAAATAATAATAATATGCCATTTAGCAGACGCTTTTATCCAAAGCGACTTACAGTCATGTGTGCATACATTTTTACGTATGATAGATCATTCAGAGTGGTAGACAGGCCTTTCTCTCTCTGAAAACATTCAATTTAATTTCAACAACAATGTAAAACATTTCCATTTCAATAAAGTTAATTGAATTATACTGAACACAAATAAAATGCAACATGCAACAATTTCAAAGATTTTACTGAGTTACAGTTCATATAAGGAAATCAGTCAATGAATTCATTAGGCCCGAATCTATGGATATCACATAGATTACATACACGTCGATCCAGAGCATCCCAAACATGCTCAATGTCTGGTGAGTATGCAAGCCATGTAAGAACTGGGCCATTTTCAGCTTCCGGGAAGTGTGTTCTGATCCTTGCGACATGGGGCCGTGCATTATCATGCTGAAACATGAGGTGATGGCGGCGGATGAATGGCACGACAATTGGCCTCAGGATCTCGTCACGGTATCTCTGTGCATTGAAATTGCCATTGATAAAATGCAATTGTGTTCGTTGTCCGTAGCTTATGCCTGCCCATACCATAACCCCACCACCACCATGGGGCACTCTGTTCACAACGTTGACATCAGAAAACTGCTCGCCCACACATTTACATTTACATTTTAGTCATTTAGCAGACGCTCTTATCCAGAGCGACTTACAGGAGCAATTAGGGTTAAGTGCCTTGCTTAAGGGCACATCGACAGATTTTTCACCTAGTCAGCTTGGGGATTAGAACCAGCGACCTTTCGGTTACTGGCACAACGCTCTTACCCACTAAGCTACCTGCCCACACAACGCCATACACGTGGTCTTAGGTTGTGAGGCCGGTTGGACGTACTGCCAAATTCTCTAAAACGATGGAGGCGGCTTATGGTAGACAAATTAATATTAAATTATCTGGCAACAGCTCTGGTGGACATTCCTGCAGTCGTCAGTAGGTGCCAAGCTCTTAGAGACTTACCCAGAAAGACTCACAGCTATAGTCAGGGTGTGACTCAG